TCTTAATTCTTTCATCTGGTCCTTGGACTATATTTTGTTGACGTACATTTGTAACCTATTTAAATTGTACCTAGATAAACAGAGAAAGAAACACCATACATTTCATTTATAATGTAACTATTTATTACATATTGTGAATAAATTAAAACACATTATTTGTATTTGTCTAAAAAAATCTAAATCATATTTATCCTAAATAAATGACGTTCATTCTAAACCATTCACACAAAAAATTTTGAATATATACAAATTTATAGATTTCTTCTTAAAATAGAAATACAAATTTAGTCTGAAAACTGAACATCCCAGCGGACAGAGGGATAACTAACAACTTCTAGTATCTTTTGCTCTCACTACTTGCTAGTAGATGGAGTTGATCTAAACGTTAAGTGAATTTCGACATATTATCGAATACTAATGAACTATCAAAATCAAAGTGTTTATGTTCAGTTTTCAGATGCAAAATGATCTGCTTGTTTTTATTTCTGTTTTATATTATATTAAATATGTTCTGGTAAGTTGAATTATTTCACTAGTATTTTATAATGAGTACCTTTGATGTTGTCCCTGTGTTTTCTTTTTTCTAGTTCGGTGTTACTAAGAAATGTTCGACGTCTGACTGAAGATAGTTTCCACCTGCAGCATGAATACCTGACTAAAAGTTTCAAAAAGCCTGGACTGCCCTTGCTTCGTAGGTATGTTCTTTATCATCACTTTTAGTTTAACTTTTCACTTTTAATATTATGTTTAACTTGTTTAAAATACTTTATATATTTACAGGGACATATATTTGTTATTTAGGTAATTTTTTTATCTGTTTTTATGTAAAATTTTATAATTTTTTTAGAACCGAGGAAATTACGTCTTCCCATCTCGAAATTTCTATCGCCAGCTTTTGTTTCGTCAACAAACTTCCTTTTTGCCAAGAATCTAATCTAGTTATTTGAAAAATAATATGGCCAATCAAATTCATGCTGTTTGGACATATTTGAAATTTTGAACATTCTCTTTTATACAAGTAAGTTTAATTTGACTGTTTATACTTATACTAGAGTTTATTGAAAATAGTAATCTATTATTTTTTAAAATAGTTTTATTTAAAACTGTGTTTTAAATTTACAATTATGTCATTTGAAATTCCAGTTGGTATCCCTGTCACCAGAATGTATATCGTTAAAGTGTCAAACTATTTCATGTTACAGGGTGGATCAAAATATTTCTACAAAATCATATTTATTTATTATATTTAAAATTTTAATTTTAGTATTCTTTTAAATTTGATAGTTTTTTAAAATACATTACAATAAATATTGGTGGAGGAGCAACGCAATCAATCAGTTGAGAATAAAGTATTGGACTATGAATATAAATAGTGAACGATTCAAAGACATTCGAAATATATATAAATTAGAATAGTATTGTTTAAAATAAATAAGTGTTTAAATAAATTATTAATAAAAAAACTGTTGTTTAAAATAAAGAAACATCACAATACATTTGCAAACACTATTGTTGATTTGGAAATTAAATCAATTATTTGACCTGTTCTTAAATTGTGATCATACAATAATTTTATTATTCTCATTCACTTTTTAGCTAGTAAGAACTTATAAAATAAATTCTAAGTTCGACTTACCTTAGAAAAGAATAATTATAATTTTTCGAGATTGTCCGTAGATATAATTATTTCCCATCCAACTCTAATATATGTGGATACATATTTAATACCCAGATATCAGGTGATTTCCGTAACTCGCACTTTAGCGGAATTATATACAAAGGTTTGGTATGGGAATAGAAGCAGTTAATATGGGGCATTTTGTTTACTCTAGAAAAAATACGTGCTGATGAGTATGTTTCAAGGAAACTACAATGTAAATATATCTACGGACAAGCTCGAAAAGTTGCAATTAATCTTCATTAAGGTAAGCCGATTAATTTTTTAATTTTGTACGACTACTGTTGCTAACAGGAATTAGGGTAAGGTTGCCCAATTTGGACCAGTATTGAAGTTTTTGTGTTATAGCAATTACAAATTTTAGAAAATGATAGTTTAAATTGCTCCATAATTTTCATTGCAGTTTTGTAAACATTACATATTTTTTTTCAAAATGTTAGAATAATGTCTTTTGGTTAAAATTTAACTTTTTTAAAACCTTTACAAGTGGTACAATTAAGGCAACCGGTTGCCTAATTTGTACCAGATGGTTTCCTAAATTGTACTATCCTTTATTACATACATAATATTTTATTTTGGATTTAAATAATCAATCGCTAGTTTTAATAGTGTATTAGTTAGTAATATTAAAAATAAAACAAGATTTGAACAGCAAGAAAACTTAAAACACATATAAATTCTGTTAAAATAAAAAAAAAATGAAAATGACTTTCCTTGGTATAAAAAAATGCTGCAATATGTTTAAGAGCACATATCACATATGTAATTGTCTGAAGCATCTGCACATGATTTATTTACCTATTCTTTACATCTTATGCATTGAATCATATCTTCTATTAAGCATTCCTTACAAATCTTGTCATAATTTACGGATACTAAAATATCTTCATTTGTTGACGATGATGGTTGTTGTAAGTCGTATTGTATTTGAGAATTTTCTTTTTTTGGCCTCTTTTTTCCTTTCGAAATTGATTTTCCTCTTACTGGTTTCTGTGACATTTCAATCCCATAATTTTGTTTAACAGCTCTTTTCTTCTTCTCTTCTACGGCATTTTGTTTTACTTTCAGTTGCTCTTTATAGGGAGTGGATGTAATAATTTCAGCCGTCTGTGCGCTTTTACCCATTTTCTGTTTTTTAGCTTTACTAACATCAGGTAAAGGAAGAATATCTACAATTGACACATTTAAATTTTTGGTTGCCTGTGTATCGATTTTTTCAGTGTTAACGTCGTCAGCTGCTCTGTGAACATCTACCAAAACTTGAATTTGTGATGGTTCTCTAATATTGGAATTTTCTACCAAAATTTCGATTGGCATAGTCTCAATTGAAATATTTTCCTTATCAGTCAATATTTCTGAAGTAGCAAAATCAGAATCAGAAAAAGCATCTCTATTTACAGGCCATATTCCACATTTGCGAAAACCGTTCGTAGCACTTACTATAGCAGCAGATTTGCCATAAGCTTCATTAAAGAGAAAAGCAACTCCCACTTTTTAATGGCTTGGTAATAGTATGTTTCTAAAGGCTTGAAAACCAAAACATCTAGGGGTTGAAGCCGATGGGTCGTGTGGCCTGGTGATTTTAAAATAATTAGACCATTGTCCCGGATCAAAACTATAGCATCATAATTTTTAGAATGGGTAGTATGACCGTCCAATACCAAAAGAACTTTATTTTCCTTTGTAGGCTAAACCACTTCAATAAATTTTTTTAACCAAGTAACAAATAGCTCAGAGTTAATGTAGCCTGTGTCTGATATCTCCACCAAACAGCCAGGTGGTGCTCCAATGGTCAGTTCTGCTGACATTCGTTTTCTCTTAAATATAATCATTGGTGCGACAAATTGACCTGAGGCACTTGCGCAAACAACCATCGTAATGTTAACACCTCTTTCTCCGCTAGCAATAGTATCAACTTGATGTTTGCCCTTTTTGGCTAACATTTTTTGATTACTTTTTTGGACTGTCGAGAATCCTGACTCGTCTACATTATATATTTTTCTGGCATCTAATTTGTTTTCATCGATGATTTTTTCAAGTTTATTAAAGAAATCTGTAACATTTTTTTTGTTAAATCCTCTGCAACGAGCTAATGATGTTGATTCTGGTTGCCTTAATGAAAGGTTTGGGTGACGTTTCATTAAATTGTAGTACCACTTCTTTAGAATGGGTATGTTCTTTTACTAAAATTATGTTTTATAGAATATTTTTCTGCGAATTAAAATTCTACTCTTCTGGTGTCCTTAATGGTAAGACCAAAGAATACTTCCTCTAAAGCAAAAATATATTTTTACAGCCCTTTTCCACCTCAACAGAGAAAACTGTAGACCTACCTAATATTTTTGTTACCGTTTAAAGCCCTTTTATTCGTTGCTGCTAGATGTCTCTTAAAAGTAGGTTTAGGTACATAGTACATATTTCATTTAGACCATATTTTCCTGTTTTATATTTCGCAATGGCTTCTTTCATATTTTCCTCTGACCACTGACAATATTTTCTTTTTCGTTTTCTAAGAGGTGGCATTCTAAAAAAAAACATGCATAAGTCGTTTAAATTGTACCGGTACAAATTAAGAAACACCTTAGAGGTCCACATTAGGCAATTAGACAAAATTAGAAACTTTTATTCACAATTCGTCAAGTTTTTGAGGTTATATTTTAAATTTGTACGAAAAGGTGCTAAATATAGTTACTTTTAGACTTATATTAATTAAATCGTCCTAAATATCATAGATTTTGTTTTAAAACTTAAGAAAATGTAGTCGAAACTTACTTAAAATAGGTATACATTATTTAATCACTCTTTACTTTTCGAAACCCTTTGCGGAACGACACTCTCTTTAACTACTAACCTTCAAATACATAAAAGTACCTCGTGGCAATAAAAGATGGCGCTTAAGGTATCGTTTTCTTTAAAATTCGGGTATGGTACAATTTTAGGAGCTGGTAAAATATAGCCGACTTTCACCTATGTCGACTCCTATACATGGCCTTGATGAAGAATGCTTAATTTACTAAACTTGTTAGAGATTTTTATTTCATATATAAATGAGTCAGTTAACTATATTTCAGACTGTCAGCATATAAATCTTAATAGTTTGTAGTTATTTCGTTAAGAATTTTTAAAATGGACTCATTAAGTTATTAGTTATTAAGAGTTTATTCAGGTCACTGATTGATCGATTGTTCCAGAAGTCTTAAAAAAATTTTAATCCCGAAGTATAAAGCCTGAGGTATTATTATTATTATTATTATTATTTTTATAACAATAATACTTTAATATTATTAAAAATGTATTTATCTAAAGTGTAAATATGTTGCAGATTCTCGCAGTTATGCCTGTCCAGCGTGGCAAAATCGGCAAAATAACTTTCGGTTGGCGCAGTGGTCCCATGATCTACGCCTACATGTTCTACGTTGCCACCACAGTAATTGTGTTTATGGTGGGCTACGAAAGAGTCGACATTTTATTAAACAAAAGCAAGAAATTCGACGAATATATTTATTCCATTATATTTATTTTATTTTTGGTACCCCATTTTTGGATACCGTTCGTTGGATGGGGGGTTGCCACTGAAGTTTGTGATTATAAAAACGGATGGGGGTTCTTTCAGCTTCATTATTATAAAATTTCAGGTAAGTTCAAATTTTGAACGTTCCATTTAACCAACTTTTGAACACATTTACAACAAAGAGTAGGTATAGGTAATTTGATAGTAAATATAGTTTTTATGTAGAACATTTAATGTTTCTTTTATTCTATCCACTTTGTTGTTTTAGGTAAAAATTTGGTGTTTCCCCACCTAAGCACTCTGATAGTCATTATCAGTTCAGGTTGTCTAATTTTGTCAGTGGTATTTTTACTGACTCTAAGTGCTCTATTAGAAGGTTTCACGCTTTACCATACATCTGCTTATTATCATATTATTACAATGATAAATATGAATTGTGCACTTTGGTATATCAATTGTAGAGCTATTGGTAATGCCAGTTCTGCATTGGCCGATATCTTTCAAGAAGTAAGTGAAATAAGATAAATTATAGACTATCTTTACACGATTTTTTCGCTCTAAAAAAGAGAAAACATTGAGGCAACCAGAACTGTACCCGAGGTTAACCTGGAAGATGCCAATGCTGTCAGACTATCATAACAAATCAATTTTTTTTATAATAACGATTTATTCTGACTGTAGAGATTTCTCTAATAATCACAATGAACAGTGTTGGCTTATTATTGAGTAAAAATGACATTTAGATACAGGGTATCCCAGAATATGTTGGAATTCTCCCGGATTCAGATAGAACACATAAAAATATAATTTTTTTTTCTTTGACCCCATTTTAGTAGATATGGACACCCAATTTTTTTTAACAGCATTTTCTTGCATGTATCACATGCGGTACACGATGTCCCCAGCGCAAAGTTTTGTCTTGGGAGCGCGTTGTGTACCACTGGTGGTTAAGTGACAGAAATGCCCCAAGTCTTCTGACAAAAGAGTATTGCATTTTGAGTTACAGTTTCTTATTTCAGTTGTGTGTTGTTGTTGCTCAGCAACGTAAACATTATTAAGGTACGATTACACGAATACAAGCAGTCACTTTGAAAATTCCTTTAGGATTACGTTTTACATTTTGTCTACAAATACTAGAACAATTTACTTTAGTACTTTATAAATAAATTTCCCAACGTCGATTTTGGATAATCAAACTGGGCTGCCAATTTTCGGACACTTGTAGGAGGATCATCTTCTACGCCATTTTAAATATTTTTTTCGACACCCTCACCGCGATCTATTTGAAATTGACAATCTTTGCCAATCTTTCCTAAAATCATTTCCGGTACTTTATTAATTAATAAGATAAAGAAGAAAAAATATCAAACATTTCAACATACTAGCACACTGTCATAAATTAATAAATTCTCTTTTAAATCGGTCAAAAAACCATAGCAACAAAAAATATTCTTTATCAGTAACAACTAATGCAAAAAACCATTTAAGACAAAAACATTTCATGGATATTGATAAATAGTACTTTTTGTAATTTAATGTTTAGCATAATTGTGTTAAAGCTAGTCCGTCCTTGCAAACTAAATAAGCCAAATGTGTTTAAAATGGTCCATTTTACGGAGACCTTTCTAGTATCTATCGTATTTAAAAATTAATAAATTATACCTAAGACTTTGAAAAGTATAAAAAAAAAGAGTTTCAGGGGTGTCCAATATGGAACCATATCTCCGAAAAGGGGGGTCGTAGGATTTTTTGTTATCTGAATCCGAGAGATTGACCACGTATTCTGGGACACCCTATATAATAATACTGGTTAACATTTAAATCTTTATTATTTTAGGATATTAATAAACACTGTACAGCCTATATTGTAGCTCACTATAGAGTTTTGTGGTTAGAGCTTAGTGAGCTTTTGCAGGCTATTGGGAATGCTTACTCGAGAACTTATTCCACCTATTCCCTGTTTATGATCACCAATATAACTGTTGCTGTAAGTAAGATAAATTAAAGTATATCATATAAAGCAAATATTTTTGGAGGAATGTTTATTTTCTCTAGTCAAAAATAATTAGTTTTCTTAAAAATATTTTCCACTTTGAGCATTTCTACTCGAGTCCGGTAAACGTCTACTTACCATACTTATACCTGTGATAAATATTTTGGTTTTCCTTCTAGATATATGGGTTTATTTCTGAAATCATAGACCACGGCATAACATTTTCTTTTAAAGAAACGGGACTGTTGGTAGCTGGATTATACTGTTTGGTACTTTTATTTATATTTTGCGATTGTTCTCATCAGGCTTCGGAAAATATAGCTGGAAGAGTACAGACGTATTTACTGGAAATCAAAGGAAATAGTGTGGATTTAAATACTAGACGAGAGGTAAGAATAAGCGTGTAATATCTAAGTTCGTTATTATATCGATTTTAATATATATTATGATGCTCTCAATACAAAAAAACAAACTTCTTGAAATCGTTAACTATACTGTCTGATACTAGTGGTAATTCTGTAACGAATATATAAAATTTTAACCCTACGTTAATTTCTGCAATTTCAACCTAAAAAGCAATTCTGTAACTCTTACAAATAACATCCCGGTAAATTTTAACGGAAACGGTAAAAATTAGTTCAAATTCATGTCTCCAATCTCCATTTAAAAAAAAAGAAAGATTAAGTGTGGTGTGATTTTGTATTTCACTTATTTTGTGTGGTGTGTATATTAAAAAATGGATAATTTAAAATCCCGCTTCACTCGAATGAGCAAGAAACAAAAAAAGAACATTTAATTACGTATTTAGAAACTCACAAAATGATGCTAGAGACGAAAGTGGCTCCTCGCGATCTCGAGAAAATAAAAGAGTATTGGATAGAAATGGCTACAGAACTAAATAGGTTGCCAGGAGCTAAAAAGGACCCTAGGTAATGGAAGGAAGTAAGTATACTGCAGATGTTAAATTTTAGATTTGTTCGCCAATATAATATTAAAATTAAATTATCTAAATCAATACCATGGTTTAAGGCAATAAATGAAGTTAAAACTAGTGCCAGAAAAAAAACACGATTGCTTCACAGAGACCACACTGGCACTGGTGGAGGCCCCAAAACAGCAAAAGACCTCACAGATTTGGAAGAAAGATTGCTTGCCATGTTGTCAAGAACAGTGGATACTGGAATTTCAGGTGTGGAAGAATTGGGGTTTGGTAATGTAGTACCTGGCCCAGCTGAAATAAAAAATGCAAGTAAATTTACACAACTTTTAAAAACCGAAATTGCTATATTTATGCAAATAAGCTTTTATTTAATGGTGCTTTTAGTTAAAAATAAAAGTACCTAATTTTTTTGATTCTATACTTTCCCTGAGGTCTGTTTCATAAAACTGATTAGACTAATTTTCGATAAATAATAACTGATGTTTCCCTTAAAATTTCATTCTTCTTCTCTATCTTATACCATAATCTGTCTTTTCTTCTAGATTGAAAATATAGAAATTATTATAGAAGAAATTGATCCTTCTACTTCCACAGACAATTCAGTTCTGGTAAAAAATGTGTTACAACCAAGATTACAACAAGAAAATGTAACAGTGAGTAAACTTACCTTATGAATAAATGAAATGATAAATGACTATAAATAAATTAAAACTTTAAAAGCATAGATATGTTTCTTTTAGGTAAACAAAGGAGCTGCAACTGGTCGCAGAAAGACCACTATGGTAACACAAATATTGCCATGAATCATGAGGAATGCTTGAAAAATATGGCAGCTTCAAACGAAATATTAGCTGAGTCTAATAATAGATTAGCTAAGGCTATATTAGGAAAAAATAAAATAAATGGGCCAGTGTTCTCATTGAGATTTTAAAATACACATTTTTGTTTTCAAATTGTTTATTTTGTTTTTGAAACATTTTGTAGTTTTTAAAATATTTTTTTTGTTTTTTTTTTATTTTGATAATAAATAATTATTTTTTCACTTTTCTACATTTTTATTAGGAATTACTAAATATGATGTGTTAAATAATTTTTGTATAAAAATATGAACAAAGTTCAAATAAAAAAACTGTGAATTATTTCCTCTCTTCGTGCTTCACCTGCATTATACCAGTCAATAACAATGACAATGGGCCTTGGATATTCATTTTCTGGATTTTCATCTAATATATCCTATCATCAGGCATTTATACTACCCTTGTTCTTGCAATGTTGTGTAAAATGACACAACTATGAATAATTTCAGTCACATTATTAGGACTATAATACAATGCCCTTTGTCCATGTATGCAGCGAAACCTATTTTTTAATAGCCCTATTGAATGTTTAATTTTGACTCTTAAACTTGAAAGTCTAGTGTTAAATCTTGAATTAGGATGGTCTGGAGGAGGAGCATTCACTGGAACTAGTAACCATGGCTCTAAAGGATATCCACTATCTCCTATCAAGTAGTTTTGTGAATTATTGTTCATATATTCCCTTTCTAATTCTTCCCTAACTTTAGACATCATCCAAATTGCTAAATCGTGGACTGATTCAGGAAAACGAGCATTTATAGCAAGAAATTTTTTATTGTGGTTACATATGACTTGAATATTAATGGCATAAAAATTTTTTCGGCAGTAAAATATGGGACCTAGATAAACTGGATGGTGGATTAAATGAGGAGATAACGAGTTAATTAGGTATGGGCATGTTTCTTTGTTTAGTCTAAACAGCTTTAAAAACAGCCGGTCCGGTATTTCAAACGGATTGCTGATATCTCGTAAATTTCTACACCTTAATTTATTAAGGGTTCTACAAAATAGGTTAGATTATATAAGCACTGGTCAAAGTTTCCTTATAATAAACATAATATTACTTACATCCTTTGCCGATTATCAATATAATTTTCAATAAAGAGATGTATGAATCCATCTAACGCCATATTTTTTAAATATTTAACTGGTTAATTTTTAAAGGCTACTAGGCACGTACGTATTAAAATTACCATTTAAACATACGTTTTTAACGTTTTTCTGTTATTTTTTAACGTGAAAAATATTACGGAATAGAAAATATTTAATTATTTGAACTACTGCTAATAACAGCAGTTAAATATTCACCTTTAAACAGTACAGAATAACTTTTCTATTTTACCGTACGTTATTTTTTTAACGCCCTTTAAAATTTAACACATACATTACAGAGTTACCACTACTTAGGGTTATTTGTTAATAGTATTATTGCAAAAAGGAACTAAAGGGATTGGAGCATGACCGGAGTGATTGAAAATGGCTCGCACGATATTGTCCCTTCCTGAAACTTTTATGGAACTATAACTAAGCACTAAGCAAAATACATACACTCCACATTTATTGCAAGCTTACAAATATAAATGCAAGTTTCCTTGCAAGTTTGTTAAATATTTATTGATAGCAGATTTCGGCAAGTTTGAATCTTCCTCACTCTTAACTTGAAAAACTAAACTCAATATGCTATAACATGGAAACTTGTTAAATTAACTCATTGTTAACATGTAATCAAAAACCTATTTAGGTACAGTTTTATTTTAAATATTATGTAAGAACTTTCATTCACAAGTTATCTGAAAATTTTAAAATCGCACTTGACTTACACTTTTAAATTTGAACTTCTATTAAACTTACCATTATAAATACGCTTTAAACTCTCAGTATTTCATTGTCTGTACAAAGGTGTTTCATTATACAGGGTGTCCCAATGAAAAGTAGCCCGTTTCCATTTGATAAAATTTTGTTACGGTGACTTTAAAAGAGGAGATTTTTAAAAAACACCCTGTATAAGTAATACATAATCTATGTGTCACTGAAGCAAAACTTATAGCAAAATAACACATATCTATGATTTGTTTAAAAGTTATAAGCTCTGGAAATGGGCTACTTTTCATTGGGACACCCTGTATTATGAACCTTTCTAAAGCCATGTAACTTTTTAACTACACTCAGTGGCATGAAAAACGGGCACCCCATAATTTTTGATTCAAATGCCTCAATTTTATATTTGTTGTATTTTAACTTTTTTTAACGATAGGCACGGATTGGTACATGATTTTAAAATGTGCTTTCTTCAAGAAATGTTTTCGGAAAGCTTTTATTTCAAAAGAATAACGTCTGTAAACATTAACACAAAGAAAATAAATTTATTAACAGTTACCCAATTATCATCAGAAACACAAAAAACAATTTAAAAACCAGTATTTAACACTTGTCTGTCTAATTAATACCTCGTATTACCTCCACGAGCCTGTATAACGGCATTCATTCTTCTATGCATACTGTTAATCAAGTTGAATAATTCTTTCTGTAAAATTGCTTCCCATTCCTCTAAAATAGCCACTCTGAGCTGATCCAAGGTAAAAGGGACAGGTACCCGGCTTTGAATCCTTCTACCGAACGTATCCCAAACATGCTCGATGGGATTTAGATCCGGACTGCGAGCTGGCCATGCCATTTGGGTAATACCAACTTCATTCAAATATTCCGTGACAATGCGGGCGGCATGAAGGCGTGCATTGTCATGCATCAGTATGAAGTTGTCACCAATAAATGGTGCATATGAGACAACATATTCTTGTAGGATCTCATTTATGTACCTATCTGCAGTCACAGATCCCCTAGGGACCATGTACAATTCTGTACGCGCCTCCGAAGATATTCCAGCCCACACCATAACTGAACTCCTTTGAAAAGTTACTCTAGGGCTAAAAGCACACTCGGCATATTGTTCACCTGTCCTTCTCCAGACTCTTTCGCGACCATCTGGTGATCGTAAGCAAAATCTAGATTCATCGGTAAACAACACAAAGCTCTAGTCGTCTGCATTCCAATTTTGATGCTCCCTAGTGAATTGTAATCTGGCTACACGATGCTCCCTGGAAAGTTCTGGTCCTATAGCGGGTCTTCGAGATCCCAGATTAGCTTTATTTAACCGTCTTCTAACTGTTCGTTCACTAATATTTACATTCCTGACATGTTCAAGGTTATTTCTCATCTCTACAGTAGTTGTGTGACGATTTCTTAGTGCTGAAGATATCATAAAACGGTCATCTCGATGAGTAGTTCTTCTCTAAGGACCGGTTCCAGGACGTCGAGTATAAAGTCCCGTCTCTATAAAACGTGTAAATACACGTTGCACGATACTGCGTGATACCACGAATCTGTTAGCCACGTAAATTTGACTTCTTGCGTCTTGAATAAGAGTAACAATAGATGCAACAGTTTCTGTGCTTAAAGACATCTTAAAATTCGCACTAATTGACAAAACCAAGTACTAACCCATGGAACATAATAAACACTTAACCTTTAATGTCATCGTGAAAATCATTGAAAATGCATAGCCTACATGGAACACTGACGTAAGGGCAATATG